TCTGGTACGAGCCATGATGGCGACTTGCAGAGTGGTCTGGGCTTCGGCCTCCAGCCCTCCTGATGGCCTGGGTGGGCCCCAGTTCCATGTCTCCCCTCTGTTCCGTCACAGATTGGGGCCCAACGGGAGGAGAGCCGGGTAGAGGACTGCATGGTGAGGACGGTGCTGGCAGGCAGGCAGCGCCCCCCGAGGGAGCTCCTGGAACAGGACTTCCTGGACAGCCGCCCCATCCACCCAGACTCCCTCCTGGACCCCTCTGGGGCCTGCATTCGCACCCTTCAGGAGGGGATGGTGTGAAGGCGAGATCTGTGGTCGGGACCCAGGGGCACTTGGCCACTGTGGCCCCAAGTCTTTGGAAGGTATGAGCCCTGCCTCCGCCTGCTCGCAACTCTGAGCAACAGGGCGCTGAGAAAATCGGGCTCTCGGCATCACTACGGGGCAGAACTGGGGTCTCCAGGGCAGTGCTGACCCTGGCCTGCCGGATTCCTTTCCATCCCTGGCTGGCTATGCTTTGCCCCACTGAGCCCTGCACAGGGGAAGGCTGTCTGTTCCCTGTAAAGGAGACCGCAGAGTGACTCGGCAGGCCTCTGGTCTTCCCAGAGCAGGAGTCTGTGGGGATGTGAAGGGCCCAGGGCCACTGACATCAGGGAAGAGCAGGTGGGGTCCCCATTCCATGGACATATGTGAAGACACACTGTGTGCAGACCTTTCCCAGGGCTCGGCTGTGATCACCAGTAGCCAGAGCAGATGCAACCCCTGCCCTCTGGGGCTTCAGTGCTGTTTGGGGTCCTCAGTCACCCTGGACAGCTGAGCAAGCATTCCTCACACTGCAGTAGCTGGCACTTTCCTGGCCTCCCTAGATGTGGATCCACAGCAGTGCAAGAGGAGCCCAGGAGCGGCACGGACACTGGGCAGCACAGCGCTGCAGAGCTGAAGCCTGAGGAGAGGTGGGCGGGACAGATGCCCACTGTCCCCCCGTCTCAGATCGTTACAGAGCAGTGGCCCTGTGCCCTTGAGTGTAACACGCACAGACACCAGACTCTGTCCTCATGCAGCTGGCAGTGGGGACGGGTGGGCAGACGGTGTGTTGGGCTGCCCTGAACAAGGCAGAGGCGGTCACACCACAGAGCACGGAGCCTCCTGTTAGGTCTCGGGCTGCCTGGGCCAGCACTGCCCCACTGGGCGTGGAGAGGGTGGGGCTGGAGCATGTGCAGCTGGGCCAGGAGGCCTACTTGGTCATCTCCGCATGTTCCCTGGACAGGCAGCATGGGAGGAAAGGCCAGGCCTCTCGCTCTGCCTCCTACCTGCCTTTCCGGTCCTCCTTTTTTGTCCTCCACTTCTTGGTGGAACTGCACTCCCAGGAGAATCCACCAGCTGAACTCCTGGCCCAGCTGGATCAAGCTGAGCCCACTGAGGCATAGCCCACGGGCAAGGAGGATGGGGTGTGGGCCTGTGGGCATGAGGGGAGGGATGGGCCTTTAGACACAGAGACAGCTTCCGGGTGCTGGGGTGACCTGGGATCACTGAGACCTCAGCCATCATGGTCTGGGAGGACTTCCTGGGGAGGCTTTGTGCACAGAGCTGTCTGATGGGCAGTGGGGAGGTTTTGCCCTGGGAGGGAACATGGACAGTTGGTGACTTTTTCTTCTCTTGGAACTGCAGGACCAGCTCCATCCCCAGCTGAAGTTCCACGAGTGGAGTGAGCCAGCTCCACCTGCAGCTTCCTGCCCAGCGCTGGGACCACAGCCAGAGTCCGTGGCAGCCCCTTCACCTGCTGCAGTGCTGGGGCACCCGGTGGTTGCATGGCGGTCGGTGTCACCTCCTGAGCTCTGCCTGGGGCCAGCTCCTGGCCTCCTCCCACTGTTCCCCTCACTTATGCTGGCTCTTGTTTTGGTATTTACAAATGCCCTTATTTCTTGGATTTATATAATAGAACTAGCTTTTAATAAAACTTAAAATTTTAGTGTTTAAAAGGGTCAGCGTGGTGGCCTGAAGTGCCTTCTCCCTGTGTGTGTCCATCCCCAGAGCACCGTGCTTGGTGGCTCCTGCCCATACCCCTGGCCACTGCTCCTTTCGTGTCCCCACGGGCACCTGACCTGCAGGGTTCACACCAGTGCAGTCGGACTTGCCTTTGGCCACACAGTCGTGAGAGGGGCTGATGAATCTTGCGCTATGCAGAAGGGGAAACCCTAGAAAGATCCCGGCCATTTTTCATTGTCTTCTTCAGTAGGTAATCCAGGTTGTGTTGCCAGACAGGATGTATTTATCACAGTAAGATAACGTGTGCAGTGAGTGAAGGACAGGCGAAGGGGACCATCGCAGGAAACCCACTGGGCCTTGGCCTCCCCTAGGCGCCGCCTCCCTGTCTGCATCTCGGGGTTCAGGCTGCGTCTTCCCTGCTGGGAGGGGGTGCGCCACTCCTCAGCTCTCCTACCTTCTCATTACATGCATGGGGACCTGGCCTGTCAAGCTCAACCCCACACATTCAGGGCCTCAGTGACACGGTTGGCTCAGCAGCCTCTGCTCTCCTGATTCCAGGGTCCCCAGTGTCTGTGTCATCAATGCTGCTTTTTAGGGAGGAAGCCTGGCAGTGGAGACTCTGGTCATAGTCACAGGAGCGGGGCCAGTGATGGGCTCCTTCTGCGGAGTCTGCAGGGCAGAGCACACCGTCCTAGCCGAGCTCCAGGTGACCTCCCGGACATCAGCGCCGCAGGTCTTGGGGCTCACCCGGGGACAGTCTGCTCTGGCTGCTGTCTGTCTCCACTCAGAGGGCAGAGGGACAGGACAGCACAACCCCAGCCTGCCTACTTGGAGATGGATGAACAGTCTCTCCATCTCTACTAAATTTTACTTTTTTTTTTTTTTTTGGTACCAGGGATCGAACTCAGGTCCTTGCACTTGCGCAGCAGGCAGCGAAACCACTCAGCTAAATCCCAGGCCCAAATTTTACTTTTAAAATATGAAACCACAGAGCATCCTGGACAGCAGAGGCTGGAGGTTCCTGGGGATGTATGGTCCAACCCTGGCCATGGACTGAGGTCTTTACAAATCAGTAAAATTTATTTTCAGTACTGGGGATTAAATTCAGGACCTTCTCACTGAGCCACATCAGCAGCCCATTTAATGTGTGATTGTGATTGTCAGAGTCTTCTCATTAAGTCGCCGTCACCCAGCCTGGGCCTCCCAGAGTGCTGGGTAGCAGAGCTGCACCACCTCACCTGGCTTCACTGAGCAGCTCTGAAAAACAAATGGATCCCGATGGCTGGGTGTCCACCATTAACGCTTGGGTCAGCTCAGCATCTCTGGCTAGGGCTATGGACTCCACCAGAGGGGGTGCTGCTCCCTGAGAGGCCAGTGAGTCGCTGCCTCATGCCAGGTGAGTGACATCATTCTGGGCGGGTGACCACAGGCTGAGACCTGACCTCCCTCCCACACTGCCCTGGTGTGCGTGGTCCCCGAGTGCTTTCCTCCTCTCCGCACGCTGAGCTGGGCAGAGAGCAGGGTGAATCTGTCCCTGGGTGACCTCACTCCTGGGGCCCCAAATCCTGCACCAGGCTGCAAGCTGCACACAGCCCCACGCCGGAGCTGCGGCTGCAAATCTGCAGGAACCATTGTTTTCTGGTGTCCACGCACAGCTGCGGCTCCTGACTGCACCAGACTGTCCTGGAATCCCTCCCTGACCGCACACACGCACCCCATCCTGGCCAGATGCTGCTGGGCCCTCACACTGTGCCCCACCGCCCATTGCACTGGCCACGAAGAGAGGATCATCCAGACAGAGCCAGACCTTGAGCTGGCAATGCCAGGGGACAAGGACTGTGTGCTCCATAGAAGTGACTTTGAGAGCAATCCACGGTTTACAGATTTCCCCACAAAGCCCCAGGTGGGGCCTGATTTGCATTCCACGCTTTAAATGTACCGACCTCACCATGAATGTAACCATTATGCACTGATGAAATAACACAGTGAATTATAAGCAATAAGAGGAAATGAGGCCCTGATGGCAAAACCAAAACAGAGGGAAGTGAAGTGAAACTCTTCAGGGCCACGCAGCCCTCCAGCTGCCAGCCGGGGTGCGGCAGGCGAGGCGAGCCCGGGAACCAAGCGGCAACCTCGGAAGCCAAGAGTATCTGCTGGGATCTCTGTGGCCAAGCTTGGGACGACAGCGATGCGAAATGTCAGGGCCCTTTGCTCTATGCACAGCCGGGTGCAAACGCATGGGGAGCTTGCTGGGCACTGGCTGCCCAACAACCCCAGAAGCAGCTCACGCAGCCTTGGGGGAGACAGCGAGCCCACACTCCCAATACCCGGCACAGAAAGTGAGCACCGACTCAGGCGAGTCTTCTGAGGCCGCACTCTGCACACACTGCCTTGGTCCACTGCTCAGGGCCCTGACGCCTCAGTCCCAGCAACGTGACCCAAACGCTGTCTCCTCGAGGGTCCAGGCTCGGGGTGGGCCCCAAAATGACAGCAGGAGACCCCTCCATGCCTGCTCTCTCCAAGAGGCAGGGTCCTTCTCCACCCACACCCCGTTCCCAAGGCGCTTTGAAGATGGTGCTGCTGTGAAGAGCCCTGGGCGGCAAACGTTACCCAGGGCTCCAGGAGAGGCTGGTGGGAGCAGAGGTGCACAGGGAAGGTGACAGCGACTTACGGGAGCCCTGCCCTGCGCAGCCCGACCCCGGCGTCTGTGAGGCCCAGGAGGTGCCCCCCCACTCACCCTCACAGCCTCAGGGCCACCCGGGTCCCGGGCACTGGGCACTGTGGCCCTGGCACCAGTGGGTGGCCAGGTGAGGAAACGGGGCGGCCTGGCAGCTGCCACACACATGGCTCACTTGTTTATAGACAGAAAGCGCTGGTGATGATTCCTGGAACGATAAACGTAACTTTTTGGTCTCCTAAGACTGGCACTTGCATAAGCAAAAGAAAAGCATCAATGCAACATGTCACTGCTGCTGGGTCGCAGGAGTCTACCAAAGCTATTTTCCAAGAACATTTCAGTGTACATTGGAATACGTATTTATTTTAAGTGTTGCTTTTTAATTTGTGCCAACCTAACTTTTTCTCTTTACAGATGCTGAGATAAGAAGAAAATGCGAGGGCCGGGGATTTAGCTCAGTGATTTCACCGCCTGCTGCGCAAGCGCAAGGACCCGAGTTCGATCCCTGGGTCCAAAAAAAAGAAGAAAAAACGAAAGGTGGGAGGTGCTCACCTGCCCACTGAGCAAAAGGAAGGGCAGTTTTCCTCAGTTCTTAAGGAAGAAAGAGTGCAGACCACTCACAAGCTGCCTTCAGCCCAGAGCCAGAGGAGTCGCTCTCAGAGCATGTTCCTGTTCAGCCTCGCCCTGGGCCTCCAAACTCCCCTCTGGGCGTGGGTTTGACGCTTCAACAGTTCTTGTGACCAGAAGCTGGAAAATAGGGGTCCAAACATGATGGGAAATGGGGGACACCGGACGGTGCACTTTGAGCAGCAGGGCAATCAAAGAGCTGCTGAGGTGGAGAGAGGAAGCCAGGTCTTGTTGGAGCGGATGTCATCCAGAGAGCTCCAAGCTTAGGTGACAGAATATTCCTCGAACTGGAATGCACTGTTGCAAAATGCCAGCCTGACATTAAGCTGCTCTCAGAGGCACCGTGTCCTCAAATAGCCCGTGATGGCTAGTGTCCCTGCAACATGGCCTTCCTCCCTGATTTTGTAATTCCCTGTGTGTCTTTAATCACTGCATAAAGTGTCACCAACTTAGAGAAATTTTTTAAAGGAAATTAATTTTGATTTCCACTGATAGCCTGAAGCGTTTTCTTTCTCCCCAGGAGGGCCATCCAGCCCTTTTTCCCACAATGACAAGGGGTAGAGAGAGGTTCCTTGTGGGAGAGAATCTTAGCTGGACGACTCTTACAAAACAGAAGGATTTTGTTCATGTCCCATGGTACGTTAAGCATTTAGTGCATTATGGTGCTTAATTCTCATGACATCTAAGAGGTAGCTCTGTTGTTAGACTCGCTGAGGCTGAGGAACAGAGACACCAATAACTTGTCCAAAACCGCATGGGGCTGGTCAGGAGGAATCAAATCTTGTCCCAGGCAGCGGGATGCTAGAGCCTGCGCTGAGGTACAAGTTGGTCCCGCATGCTGCTTTTTGCACGGCTGTGTCCCACTGAGAACTCATTAGGAGGCCAAGCGAATTACTTGACGTATTTATGGAAGGGATCCAGAGGACAAGAAACAAGGGAACACATTCCCTCTTTGTCTTTACAGTGATATGGTGAAGAAGAGAAGACAGTATTCTTGCACTGCAATGGCAACAGGCAGTGGGAATGAGGAGCAGATGTGGACAGCAAAGGTCCTCATGCAGGGAGGTAGCAGCAGCGTTTTCATTCCCATGTTTGCCTTGGCTCCAGTCATCTCTGCCACAATCACCCCTGAATGAATTCCCTTCCTGGCATCTTTAAATCTGTTGCCTTTACTTGGGTCTGGCACTCTGTGGACCACATTAAAGGATAGGCTCATTATTTTGAGAAATTCCCTTGGATAGGTCTATGCAGGAGTTTCTTCTTCTATTACTTAGGCAAAAGAGCTTGAGAAACTTTATATTTACTGTCTCAATAATTCATAAGTATCTGCATCTTTAGAACCTTAATTGAAACCATAAGATGGGAGTAAACAAGCATTTTTGGTGTGTGAATACATGAAGACATTCTTATAAATTGTCATTTCTTGTTTCATATGCTCAGTCGCAGTTTTCCAGTAGAAAGTAAAAGTGATGGTTCATCCCTTCATAATCAAGTTTATTGTAACTGATTTAATTTTCAACAGCTTTTATGAGAATGGAATGATTATGTCTGAGTAGCATGAGCATTTTTATAAGAAAGGACAAGAATTCACTTCCACCCAGTCCATTATGCTGTCTTCCATTTATAAAAACAACTTGACTAGATTCTATTATAACCCTGTGACACAAAGAACAAAATTTCTGGTATGTCCTTGACTCTTCCCTTCTCCAAGACATGCACAAAATCTGTGGGCTCAATTCCCTTCAAAAACATCAAAAGCTTTTAGTTATTTTAGTTATTCTAGTTGCAGGTTTTGTACCTTCACATCAGGGTATAACCCATAGCTTTTCAGTGCATCATCTGGGACTGGACTTATTTGCTTCATTTCATGAATGCTTGGATATGGAGTCCTGTGTGCATTTTGGTAGCCTTTTAAAAAATAATTTCTAAAATTTAGTACCAAATACCAGTAGTGTGAAAAAAGTAAACTTTGCTTTCTATCTTTATGGTAAAAATGAAGATAAAACAAATTTACTCCCGTGTTGATTACTTTTTGTTATTTCTAAAATATGTCCAGACATATTGATTTCTGGATATTGAAGCTGACCTTAAGTTGTTAGACAATTTACTTCCTAAAATACAGTTATATCATGGTATTTTCTTATCTTTTATAATTTAAGTCTTCCCTATACTGGATTTTCCTTAGGAGAGGCACATGGGTATTGTGACCTAGTTTGTCACCATGTAACTACTGTGTCATAAGTTTTGTTGTCTTTAAGTGTACAAAAATCAAGCAACCATAATAGATTGCTTATATTGTACACTCAGTTTGCCCAAATAAAACAAGATAATTTGATTTTAGTATTGCTCTGGATTTTCCTTGTTATCTCTTATCATTCGGGTGACTTTGAGGTTTTATAGTGTGGGAATGTTCTGTAGGCTGGCCTTAGGGAGAACTCTTTACCTCTGTTGTGATTACCTGCAAGGTGTGGGGAACACCTGCTCAGCCATCAGTCTCATGAATGGATCTTGTCTCAAGAACTTGGAAAGCACTGAGCAGAAGGTTTGATGTATGTGCCTGTCAGGCTGTCCTTCATGCTCTGGGTGACTCCCGGCCTCCCTCTCCTTACTTTCCGTCCACCGGGCTCCAGCCTTCCCATTGGGGCAGAGGCAGAGGATGTCTGCTCCGGATTTGGGGACACAGGTGGCCCTGTTTCCACAAGGACTGTTTTCACACCTTGGACACTGGCATGGCTTGCCTGAATACCGCCCCGCACACTCACAGAATGAGCTGTCACCATCACTGGAAAAAAAGAAAAATTGAAAGAAAACAATTGACATTTTATACACACACAGACCCACCCATGTGCCAATAAGACTACAAAGGGAAGTTGTCTAAACAGTGAACTTTTTCTGGCATGTTTTCACTTTTGAGCATTTTTGTCTGTGTGTGTACTTTACATTGAAAGCAGATTAATGGCTTTACAGATTGTCTGAAGCCATGAGTGCTATTTTAAGTGGTCTATTTTTATTTTTGATTTATCTCATCTTTTATTTCACACTAGGTGTCTTTTCAGGGCCTCATTAAGTATGTGTGGTGCTGCTTCAGTGAATGCTTCATAGTCCACTGGGAAAAGCCATCTCTCTCGGGCTCAGAGACTTCTGAGCTGGTGATAAGGCCCGCCCCCACACTGAAGGCAAAACCCTCTGAGAGCTGCACTCATGGTAGTTCCAAAAAAGGCACAGTGGGAACTGTAATGACTGCACAGCTCTGCAACACAAAACAAGTTTGGTGGCCCCAGGCTGCGGGCACCTTGAACACAGAGCCCAGAACACTCCTCTCACCTTTGGGGAACCACTCTTGGGAGGGAGCGAAGAACTTGGAGTCCTTATTTCTACTCCCCTGCACCCTTTTTGTTCCCCCTTTCAAAGTGAGAGTCGCCTCAGTTTCCCCTGTAACGTCACAGCCCACGCTGTGTGCCGGGGCAGATCCAACTCTCCAACAGTGAGGAGAGGAGGACAGCACAGGAGGCACCAGGCAGACTGGCCTGGGAGGACTTGCTCAAGGGCTATGATGTCTTTGCAGGGCTCGGTGAACTGGAAGCTGCAGGTGGTGTCTGCCCATGGAGAGGGAGAGCCTGAGAGAAAAAACAACTAAGGTCCAGCAAGGAGCTAGGAGCAACCGGGAGACAGATTAATGAGGTACTACCTGAGTCCCAGGTGGAGCGATTCTCCCACAGTTGGGACCAAATGCATTCCAGTCCCTTTTGATTTTGGTTTAAGTCAGTTTAAGTCAAGATTTTGCCACCTGCCATTAAACAAATTCCATTCGGTATTGTTCTTTCCTTCCTTCCCTCTCTCTGATTACCTTAGCTCACACACCTTGCCATATAGACTTTTAAATTATTTTTTTCCTGTTTATGTCCTATCTGCTCAGTGTAGTTGTTAGCTCTTAAGGACAGGTGCCAGGACCAAGCCAGATTAGGAAGGGCCGGCCCACTGTGGCCTCATCTGTCCAAGGGACACATCTCTAGCTCTTCTCCTCCACGTGGCCTCTCACTTCCCAAATCTTTCAGCCCCTTTAATCTGAAAGAAGTCTGTTGCAGGAATAGACCTTTTCTTCCTTACCAATGTATACCCGACTTCAAAGTGAGACAGGTTTTCCTTTTCTAAAAATGTCTATATTTTGCTGTCGACTCTTCATGTTAAAGGGGTGAAGTACTATGAGAGTATAGGTGTGGGAGAGCAACAAAAGCTGTCTTGGGGATGTAAGACTGATGCTCTGCATTGGCTGATCATTTTATAAGCTTCAAGCACAGAATTTTACATACAGTTAACATAAAATGTAGGCTTTCAAAGTTGGGAAAAAAAGATGAACCTGAATGGGACCGGCTCACCTTCTTGACCATAGGAGCCTGGGATGGCAGCCAGGGAGCTTCCTTCCGGTGCTGGGACCGGCTGAGCTTCACTGCCCTAGGGAGAAATGGGGTGTGCGCCGGGAAAGGGACACTCACAGACACCGACGACCCCAGGTGCGACAGCGGTGACCGACCTCACCCGCCTTGTGGAGCCGGACCAGCCTGGCAACCCGCGTCTCCCCCCCACCCCCACCCCCGCGAGCATTTCTTGCAGCAGCGCCCCGCCCCCTGCCCACCCCCGAGCCCTCCGGGACCCGAGCCTCCGGTCCCGCCCACCTCCTCCCGGCCTTCCCCACCCCTCCTCCACCCCCGGGTGCACCTGAACCCGCCCTGGAGTTCATGCCCTAAGGGGGAGCGGAGAGGATGGGAGCGTCGGGAAGCGGAAGGGCAGCCTGGCTGCGGCTGGAGTAGCGGGCGGTGGGGATTATGGGTGTCAGTCTCTGCACCTTAAATCTTGGCCAGGAGGTTCCTGGGTTCCAGGGAGAAACTGGAGGGTCTCAAAGAGACCAAGAGTATTAATTATGTGGGGCTGGGGATGCAGCTTATGCGAAGGGCTTGTCTAGCTTGCTCAAGGCCTTGGGTTCAATCTTGGTACCGGCAACAAAGAATTAAAAAAAAAAGATAGGAATTATGTGGCAGAAACTACGTAGGCCCTGTGGTTTCCGCAGTGAGCAAAGGTTTCTGCTCCCTGCCAGGCTGGAGGAGAGGCTCAGGAGGGGGAAACTCAGTACGGTAATCAAGTAATGCTAAAATTGTACAGATTAACAAATAATAATAATAAAATAAAATTGTACAGATTCAGAGTTGGTGCCAAAAAGCTCGCAATGAACAAAATATGAAAAATTAAGGGCAGTGAAGGAAACCAGACCATACCACCCAGATTAACCCTGTGGTATATTGGTTATTTTGACCTGAAAGCACTTGAAAATTGAACAAATGCAGGAAGAGGCCTTCTCCACGCCTCCCTGAGCTGCCTCAAGACAGACTGCCTGTAGGAACTGGAGGCCAGGTGCCGAGGCCCACACCCGTAATCCCAGCATTCTCGGAGGTTGAGGCTTGGGGGATGTGTTCCCCTAGGGATACCTTGTCTCAAAATTTTAAAAGGGCCTAGAGGAAGATGGTTGGGAAGGCCCTTGGTAAAATCCCCACCACAAAAAAGAAAAGAAGAAAAGAAAAAGAAATTGTAGAATCTCCTCCCTAGAGTTCATCAATCAGGGAAGAGGGACTCTACACAGGCCAGGTGAGACAAGATGACACTGTACTCAGCACACATTGTCGTCTCTCATGTGCCAGCTATGTATCCCTCAAAGGACTTGTCTCCTGTAAATGGATTACATCCTCTTTTCCCTTAGTAAGATGGTATACAAAATCTCATTTTTTTTGAATATTCACATTTTTCCCCTGTGATGCCCCTGTGCAAGTAATATTAAAAGTTAGTGGGGGCCGGGGATTTAGCTCAGTGGTTCTGTTGCCTGCCTTGCAAGCACAAGGTCCTGAGTTCGATCTCCGGTACCAAAAAAAAAAAAAAAAGTGGCCTGGGGATTCAGCTCAGTGGCACTGCGCCTGCCTCACAAGTGTAAGGTCCCGAGTTCAATTCCCGGTACAAGAAAAATATAAATGAATGCCCTTTTCCTTGGAGTCTGCCAGTTGTCAGCCAATTTCGTAGTACAGTGAGGCTTCAGTGGTCTCTCCCTTACAATGAGATTCACCCTGATCTAGGGCGCCAACTAATCCAAATAAGCAAAATCTAAACAAGGGAAAAAGAACTTCCAACCTGCTAGATATCTAACACTCGGAGTGTGTGTTCTCTAAAATCGAAGAATAAATCCGAGGAATAACAGAGGTTAAGAGTAGGAAGAATTTACTGAGAGAAAGATAGCTTCTGTCTAAGAGGGACAGAAGGGGGCCCAGAAAGTGGGTTGCCTGCCCACTTCTCTTCTCAAAGATGTTTTATGGGGCAAAGCGACTAGGTGAGGTGGTTACAAAGTGGGACAAAACTATAAGATCTGATGGAAAATCATAAGGTGGGCATGAGGTGGGGCAGAACCACGAGCAGCCAGTAAGATTACAAGAACAGTCACCCAGGTGATACTGATTAACTGAGGATCCAGGGGGAAGCTAGTTACCAAGCAAGAGTACATGGATTTTCCAAAAGGAATGTGCTAGCTAGGGATGTTTTGGTCCCCAATTAAGGTGATTGATGTCTGTGTAGAATATCAATCCCTGCTATTCATCCCTAGGGGGAGTATGTGGGTGTAGCAGTTTCTTTTTTCTTTTTTTTTTTTCTTTTTGGTACTGCGATGAAACTCGGGACCTTGCACTTTCCCCGCAGCCTGCGGAACCACCGAGCTAAATCCCCGGACAGTAGTTTCTCACTTTTTAATGTTAACCTCCAGTGAATGTGCCTCAGTTGTTTTCTATGCTGAGGCCCCAGCCTTGCCCAATTTATAATACTTTCTAGCTAATTTAACTGTCTGCAATAATCCCACCCACCCTGTGGAAGGCCATGCTCCCCTGCCCTTGGGGCCCCTTGCGCCCTGCCTCAGTTTACTGTCCAGTACAGACCACAACAAATAGGGAAGTATTTTGTACAGGCCGTGGCGAGCAATGCAGAGCTCGAGGGAGGGTGGCAATTAAAACCTATGGTAGCTTTGAGCTTCCGCAGAGCTGTCTCCCTCCTGTCTTTCCACTAAGAGAAACGGAAAGCAGCGAAGGTGGATCCCTGCTGTCTCCGCCGGTCTGGCCGGTTATGCAAATGTACTTAGCCAGGAAATCGGGGCGGAAACTGGTCGAACAGTGAAGGGTGCTGTTCTGTGAGGCGGCCGCCAGGGCCTCCAAGCTTCGTCCTCGCTCAAGACCGGGGGAATGGGAGCAGTTTAAACCTTGCATGCAGAGTTCCTTACTCTTATTACTGTTATGCCCAGATCGTGAAGTCCCAAAGACCTCCAGGAAGCCGATTCCGATGTAAGCACACGAAGGCCATTTATTCAAGCTCAAGCAGGGGCTCCCAACCGTCACCGACGCAGCGGATCAGAATTGAGAGCCCCGACTCTAAAACACCAGGGGTTTTTATAGAGATTACAGCAAGGTTTGGAGATTTTTCACTTAGCAGTTACATGATTGGTTGACAATTAGCAAGCATGAAGTGTACATTTCTGATTGGCTAGGTTCATCGGGGGTTGAGGGGCGGTTACATGTAGGTTTTACGAGGGAAATGAGGGACAAAGGTTAGTGGTCGACTGTCACGTACTGATGGTCAGCAGACACACTGACTAATAGTCACCACCATTACGTACTGACAGTCAGCACATCTACAGATTGTTCTATGGATAGGGGGCCTGGAACGTTCTTTTCCTAGGCAAACAGATGGTTGAGTAATTAACTTAGGAACTTTGCTTCAGTACAGATTGTGTCTTTTGTCCCAGAGCATGCACATTTTAACCATTAATTTGTGAAAGACTAGGGGAATAGTGGATTTTAACAAAATGGAGTCTCTTTGGTCTCACATTCCCCCCTTCTCATGATGCTATAGAGGACCAATCAAGGGCCTCTGGGGGTTAATTCTATTAAGTCTGTAGAAACTGGCTGGTATTGGGACCTGAGTACCATTAGTTGTATAGTATTTATGCGTTCTCTAATGAATGAAACTAATCTATTGAGTATACAAGGTCCAAGGGTTAACAGTAGTAACAGAATAAGCAAGGGGCCCAGTAGAGTAGAGATCAGAGTAGTCAGCCATGGGGAGGAATTAAACCAGGATTCAAACCAACTTTGAGTTTGTTCTCACTCTCGCTTTCATGTAGCGAGACTTTCTCTAGCCTTTGCCATAGATTCTTTGACCACTCCTGAGTGGTTTATATAGAAACAACATTTTTCCCC